ATGGGAGGAAGGGTGTGTATGGGGATGGATGGATGGATGGATGGGAGGAAGGGTGCGTATGGGGATGGATGGATGGATGGGTGTGTATGGGGATGGATGGATGGATGGATGGATGGATGGATGGGTGCGTGTGGGATGGATGGATGGATGGATGCATGTGGGGATCGATGCATGGATGGAGGGGTATCTATAGGGAATAGGGGATGGGCGGTTGGTGAGTGTATGGATTGATAGAGGGGTGCGTATGGGGAACAATGGATGGACAGTTGGTGGGTGGATGGAAGACTGTGTGTGGGGAAGGAGGGACAGATGGAGGGTGGGAGGATGGATGGAGGGACGTGTGTGGTGATAGATGGATGGACAATGGCATGGAAGGATGGGGGGAATGAGGACTCAGTCCCCTCCTCCGCACTAAAGAGTCTCCAAGCCCCTTAAGGCACATCATGCAGCGTTGGGGTTGGAGGAGAGGCTGTCCTAAACCTGACCCTCCATCCCTTCCCTCCCCTCACCTTTGTCCCCAGAGCGCGTTCGACGTGTTGGGCTTCACGTCCGAGGAGAAGGTCGGGGTCTACAAGCTGACGGGCGCCATCATGCACTTCGGAAACATGAAGTTCAAGCAGAAGCAGCGCGAGGAACAGGCTGAGCCCGACGGCACTGAGGGTGGGCAGGGGGCAGGCACAGGGGGGAGGGATGGATTATGGGGGACACCGATGAGAAGAGTGAGCCATGCAGGGAGGGGACCACTGGGGGCTTCCAGGAACGCAGAGGGAGGAGGGACCACCAGAAAACAGCGGGAAGATCCAGGGAGTGGGGGGGACACTCGGCAGGAGGTGGGGTGCAGGGACCACAGTGGGTGGGGTGTTCAAGGGGGTTGAGGGGATGGTGGTGTGGGGAGGGACCACTGGGAGGCAAAGGGGAGGAAGCAGGAGAGGTGTGGTCACACATAGGGATCACTGCCCACGTCTCTCCACTTGCAGATGCGGATAAATCCGCCTACCTGATGGGGCTGAACTCGGCCGACCTGCTGAAGGGGCTGTGTCACCCCCGGGTCAAGGTGGGGAATGAGTATGTCACCAAGGGGCAGAATGTCCAGCAGGTGAGACCCCGCTCCCCTCCTCCCTCCGTGCCTCCCTCCCTACCTCTATCCCTTCCCCCCTCCTCCCTCCCTCCCTCCCTCTATCCCTTCCTTCCTTCCTCCCTCCCTACCTCTATCCCTTCCCCCTCCTCTCTTCCTTCCTCCCTCCCTTCCTTCCTCTATCCCTTCCTTCCTCCCTACCTCTATCCCTTCCCCCCTCCTCCCTTCCTTCCTCTCTCCCTCCCTTCCTCCCTTCCTTCCTCCCTCCCTCCCTTCCTTCCTCCATCCCTTCCTTCCTCTTTTTTCTTTCTTTCTTTCTTTCTTTCTTTCTTTCTTTCTTTCTTTCTTTTCAGAGCTCACACATGTCTCACCCCATTCTTTTCTCCTCAAACACTTACCCCTCCTCCCTATCTCTAACATACCTCTGGCGATCCCCCGCAGGTGTATTACTCTATCGGAGCCCTGGCCAAGTCTGTGTATGAGAAGATGTTCGGCTGGATGGTGACCAGGATCAACAACACCCTCGAAACGAAGCAGCCGCGTCAGTATTTCATCGGGGTGCTGGACATTGCTGGCTTTGAGATCTTCGATGTAAGTGATTCCCCCAGCAGGGGGCACTGTAGGGAGCAGGGCAGGGGCACTGGCTGTGGGGGAGCTCCCAGCTACTCCAGCCCCAGCCTCTCCCAGCAGAGGGCGCTGTAGGGAGTGCTGGCTGTGGTGCAGTTCCTCCCTTCCTCCATTAGGTGGCTCCATAGAAAAGCACCACCTGGTAGACGCAGTTACACTCTGGTATGTCTTCCCCAGATGCCTCTATGGCAGTGGTTTTCAAACTGAGGGTTACGACCCAGTACTGGGTCACGGAATGTAAGGCACTGGGTCGTGGCGGCTTTGGTCAGCACCACCGACCAGGCCGTAAAAAGTCCCATCAGCGGCGCTGCTCAGCTAAGGCAGGCTAGTCCCTACCTGTTCTGAGACCGTGCTGAGCCCTGGAAGTGGCCAGCAGCAGGTGCGGTTCCTAGGTGGGGGGGCCACGGAGCTCCATGCGCTGCCCCCGCCAGGAGCACTGACTCCGCACTGGGAGGCAGTTCCTGTGGGGGGGCAGTGCCTGCAGGCGAGAGCCACGCGGAGCTGCTTGCACACCTCCACCTAGGAGCTAGACTTGCTGCTGGCCGTTTCCAGGGCAGAGCGCGGTCCGCAGTGCCAGGACATGCGGGAAGCCTGTCTTAGCACCCCCGCTGCGCCACTGACCGGGAGCCACCACAGGTAAACCCATGCCCCACCCCTGCACCCCAATCCTCTACCCCAGCCCTGAGCCTCCCCAGACCCAGAACCCCTCCTGCACCCCAAAGCCGTCATCCCCAGCCCTACCCCAGAGCCTACACCTCCAGCTCAGAGCCCTGACCCCCCTCCTACACCCCAACCCCCTGCCCCAGCCCAGAGCCCCTCCCACACCCTGAACCCCTCATTCCTGGCCCCACCCTGCAGCCCTCACCCCTGCACCCCCACCCTCTGCCCCAGCTCTGAGCCCCTCCCATACCTCAAACCCCTCATCCCCAGCTCCGTCGGGTCATGGGCATCAACAATTTATTCAACTGGGTTGCCAGAAAAAAAGTTGGAAAACCACTGAGCTATGGGCTCTCCATAGCAGGGGGCACTTTTTGTTCTCACTCGTCTCTTGTTCCCCAACCTCCTCCCCAGTTCAACAGCTTCGAGCAGCTCTGCATCAACTTCACCAACGAGAAGCTGCAGCAGTTCTTCAACCACCACATGTTCGTGCTGGAGCAGGAGGAGTACAAGAAGGAGGGAATCGAGTGGGAATTCATTGACTTCGGCATGGACCTGCAGGCCTGCATAGACCTCATCGAGAAGGTACCTCCCCCTGAGACAGCCCCCTCCTGGCGCCCCCTAGAGGGGAAAGGTCCCATATCCTGGAGCCCTGCAGCCCAACCCAAGCCTGATGGGATCCAGCTACAAGTGTGGGGTTCAGATCAGGTTGGCTCTCCTCCTCCTGCCCGGGGGCGTTGGCACCACAGCACACCCAGTGCGGCAGGGGGCAGCGGATGGCAGGTGCGGGGCACGCAGCCACTGGCGCCATGCCAAGCCCATGGACAGGAGGCAGGGGCACTGACTCAGGGTCAGGGGAAGGATCGGGGTTGGGTCAGAAAACAACTTGACCCTCTTGGGCTCAGCTTGGGTGGACCTGGGTCAGGTCAGGCATAAAGAGACCTCTTCCATGTCCCATTCCCCACCTCCTTGAGGCAGCCAGTCTCTTAATCTTAAAACTGAACTCTCTCTTTTACTTCCCCATTCTTTCTTTTCTATTCTCTCTCTTTTCTTCTTGTTCTATCTATCCCTTCTCTTTTATTTTTCTTCTCTCTCATTCTATCCTTTTCTTCTTTCCCTTCCTCATTGTATTCATCTCTTCTCCTCTTCTGCTCATCCTTTCTCTCTTAACTCTCCTTTTATACTTCTCTTCCTTTCTCATGCTATCCATCTCTTTTCTTCTCTTCTCTTCTCTTCTCTTCTCTTCTCTCCATCCCCCCACCAGCCCATGGGCATCATGTCCATCCTGGAGGAGGAGTGCATGTTCCCCAAGGCGTCGGACATAACCTTCAAGGCCAAGCTTTACGACAACCACCTGGGCAAGTCAGGGAACTTCGGCAAGCCGCGGAACATCAAGGGGAAGCCGGAGGCGCATTTCTCCCTCATCCACTATGCCGGCACGGTGGACTACAATATCACTGGCTGGCTGCAGAAGAACAAGGACCCGCTCAATGAGACCGTGGTGGGGCTCTACCAGAAATCCGCCCTCAAACTCCTTGCCCTCCTCTTCGCCAACTACGCTGCGGCCGACAGTGGTGAGAAAACAAGGCAGGGTGAGAGAGAGAGATGGAGGAATGGGAGAGGGTGTGGAAGGAGGTAGGGAGAATGGAGCAATTGATGAAGGTGTGGAAGGAGAGAGGGATGGAGAGACGGGGAGAGGATGGATGGCTGGATGGATGGCTAGAAGATGGGATGGGATATGGTTGGCTGGATAGGTGGAAAATAGATGGATGGATGGATGGATGGATGGAAGGAAGGACGGAATGTGGCTGGATAGAGGGATGGGTGGAGGGTTGGATGGAGGAATGGATAAGAGGAGGTTTGATAGATGGACGATAGAGGGGATAAATGGATGGAGGAAGGGAGGGATGGGGAGGATGGATGGTTGGTTGGAAGGAAAGTGCCTGGATGGGGGGATGGGTAGGGAGGATGTATAGATGGGCGATGGAGGGAGGGATGGGGGATAGATAGATGGATGGGACGAGAGAGAGACCCAGCCAGGTACAGAACAGCCTCAACCCCCCAACCTACCCCCTCCCTCCCCACCCCTCTCATGCCCCCTTTCCTGCGCTCTCTCCCCTGCAGGCAGCGACGGGGGGAAGGGAAAGGGAGCCAAGAAGAAAGGCTCCTCCTTCCAGACGGTCTCAGCGCTGCACCGGGTATGACGCCCCGACACCTTTGATCCTGGGGAGGCTTTTGGAGAAGGGGAATCCCAGAAAGGGGAAAAATTCCCATTACGGGAGGGAGGTGCCCATGGGGAGGGGACAAGAGAGGAAGGGAAATACCTGGAAGGGGGATGGGGGTGTCTCACCATGAGGGCTTCCCTGGGGTGGGGGTTACCTGGGCCATTGCCCTATTCTACCAGATACTGACGTTGCCCCCCGGGCACTGACCCACCTTCCTCTTTCCCTTCTCCCCCCCCTCCCCAGGAGAATCTGAACAAGCTGATGGCGAATCTGAAAACCACTCACCCCCACTTCGTACGCTGCATCATCCCCAATGAGCGGAAGGCACCGGGTGAGGGGGCGGGGCTTTCTGGGAAAGGGGCGGTGCTAAGGGCAAGGGGTGTGGCTACAGACATAGGGAAGATGCTAAGAGAATGGGGTGGGCCTTGGAGGGAGGAGAGGGACTCAGGAACAAAAGGACAGGGCAAAGGGTGGGGCTAAGGAAAGGGGTGGGGCTAAGGAGCATGGGAGAGGCTAAGAGAATGGCGTGGAGCTAAAGGGCATGGGGGAGTGGTTAAAAGATATTGGAGTGTGGCTAATGACTATGGGAAAAGGGGTGGTGCTAAGGGATGGGACTATGGGGGGGTGAATGACAGGGGGCAGGGCTAAGAAGCAAATGGTTGGGACTTATTTCTCATGTATAGGGTTAAAAGGAAGGGGAGGGGCTTAGGGGAAGGGGTGGGGCTAAGGGATTAAGGGGGGTTAAAATGTCATGGGTGGGGTTGTGGGGAAGGGACTAGAGATGGGGAGAGTGGGCAGGGTTAAGGGGCAGAACCACCATTGACCTGGGGTAACTGCCTCTCTTCCCACCTAAGGGGTGATGGACAACCCCCTGGTGATGCACCAGCTGCGCTGCAACGGGGTGTTGGAGGGCATCCGCATCTGCAGGAAGGGCTTCCCCAACCGCATCCTCTACGGGGACTTCAGACAGAGGTAGGTCTGCCCCCCTCCTGGGGCACTGCTGCAGGGGAAGCTCGCAGCATCACAGGACGGCCTCAGAGATCCAGGGTCACTAACGATCCCCTCCCCGCAGGTACCGTATCCTGAACCCCGCGGCCATCCCCGAGGGCCAGTTCATCGACAGCCGCAAGGGGGCGGAAAAGCTGCTGAGCTCCCTCGATATCGACTCCAGCCAGTACAAATTCGGGCACACCAAGGTGAGGGGGAGGAGTCC